TGATCCAAAGCTAGGTGGCTAGGTGCCTCCATTCTCCTCCACTCTTCCTGCTCTGCCTCCTTAGGGAACATATGGTTTGCTCTTTAGGAGAAGCTACTTTTAATTCCAAAAAACGAATGTACTTGTATCCTTTACTGAAGGATGTGTGACTGAGGCAGCACGATTCTGATCTTTAAACCCAAAGGGCAGAACTGCACAAAAGAGAAAGGCAAGAACTGAAAGCATTTGGGCAAATAAGAGGAATCCATTTGCCCAGAGAAGAAACAAAAAAGAACTACAGGCATTTCTGTGCCCAAAGATGTCTCACTAGGTGTCATCAGAGGAACTTGGTGGAAGCAGCTGACATTACACTTGGCATTTCCCAAAAACCAAGTTGCCTTGGGAATAAATCCCATTTTTAGAGAAACTGCCTTTCCTTCTGGGAACTAACTTGCTTCTGTTTGGATTTTTTTTTTTTTAAAGATGAGTCACAAAGAAGTTCATAGAGAACCAAAATTTCACTTTGTCCTGCATTGTGGACACTGTCTGGGCAGAGAAAGCTATTGCCAGTAAGGGGTATGGCCCTTACTGAGAATGGGGTCTTATATAATAGTTTAGGGTTAGGGTTGGGACCCTTGTCATCTTTGGAAGAACATAGATTCATGGAGGACGGTTAATATGGAGGCCATACATAACGAAAAAAAAATTACTAAAATAACTATTTAAGATTCAAGTGGGAAGATTTTTAAGTGAGAGGAAATGTTTCATTCATCTGTTTTACAAGTTAGAAGCAGGAAACAGAAAACTCCATTTAATATGGAAAACAATTAAAAATAGATTCCAGTTCCATTCTCATCCAAGTTAATGTGGGGGGGGGTCCTGGGGGAACTATGCAGTAGGCGAGCAGCGAGTCAAGAAAAGGAGAGGTTTGGTGCCCAGCTTTTTTTGAAACTCAGACTAAAAAGCCCTTTCTGCTCTAGGAAACAGCTTGACAACTTTACACTTCACACTGAAAAGGATTTTTATGAAGGGAAAGTTTCTCTCTCCACTGAATTCCAACTAGTAAAACTTGGGACTTAGAATCATCTCCTGAAATTTTAAAGCAGAAGGGTCAACAGATACAACTATTACCTCAAAGCGCTTCTGCTTTACCTAAGATGCCCCTTCAGAGAAGGGGAAGAACCAACTAGAAGCAGTAAGAGAAACAACAGAAAACAAACATGGAAACCCTCAGCAGAGCTGTATGGGGCCATGTAGCATAAGGGACAGACAGCCACGTGAGCCTCATGTCCCCAGAGGGTGCACCGAATGACAGCCCAGTGTGATAACTGCTGGCAAGAGTCAAGGCCAGTGAGTCACCAAGAGAAAGTCCAGTGCCTGCTTTAGAGGCCACAAAAACACATTTGATATTTTATAAAGGTTTCCACCCGTTATGCTTTCTTTCTTTTTTTTTTATTTTGGTACTCAAAATTTTGCTTTTTAGAAAATTCATGATGTCAAAGAACCACATGACTTATTAAAAGAGGTATTATTGTATGTAGATTTTCCAGGCAAAGCTCTGATTTGAATGCTCATGATGAGGAGATAAGATGCACAGACTTTTTCCCTTCTGTCTTTACTTTCTTTTTGGTGCTACCATCTGAAGACAACTGTGACTGCCCCAGGCGTGCAACACATGCTACACCAGCTTACTTACGCAGATATCCAACATCATTCCAAATCAGGGGCCTGTCTCCCTGCTGTGGTCTACTCTGTGGGTCATGGGAGTAAACGGGGGGCAGACGGCCTTGGGGAAGGATGGAGTTTGTGAAAAGTTCTGTGGAATGGCAGAATTCTTGCCCCCGGAAGTCACAGAATAGCTATGTCAATGCCAGTGAGCTGGGGGCGCTCTGCGAAGGTCCCTTACCTCGATTGTGTTGCAAGAGTACAATAGTAGGATTGACAATTGTCGTAGAGGGGTAGGCAGATGATGGCTTGCTAACTGGTGCAGAGATTTGGGGATCGGTTCCAAGGTGGGATGAAGACACTTCATTTAGTAGAGGACCTGAATCCTGAAAAGTGAACACACATTATAACCAACTGTAAGTACAGGAAATCTAATGTTAACGCTTTTTAAAAAGAAGAAATTTACAGCTTTACAAGGACCTTAATTATAAAAAGAAATGTAATCAATGAGACATCACTAATTCCAGTTAGAAGTTTAATCTGGAAGGCTTAGTCTCTTTGTTGGTGTTAGTAAGGGTAGAGAGGGAAGGTGAATGTTACTGGAAGTCTCAGCAATATCATTATTTTCACCTGGTAATAACTGTGGATCAATCCAGTTACTGAAAAAGGAAATTCAAAACAAAGTAGAACAACATGCAAGACTCATGCAATTCCAAATGTGATCCGAGAACGAGAGCTGGTTTAAGGGAAAATCAGGAAAGTTTAGTACACTTGTCTAAAGAAACATGAGACAATGTGAGGACAAGAAGCCATCGATATAAGAGTAGGGAAAAATTAAGTATTGGTCCTCCTGGAAAGCCACTCTTGTTATTTGCATCACTCAACAAACTTACTAGCACTTGCTGCTAAGATTTGGATGTTATCCAGTTCTACCCTGACATTTTTTTTTCACTCCAGTATTGAGTGACAAAGATCTCTGAAGTGGTAAAGACTTATAAAAATCCTGACTTCAAAAACCTGAGGTTTCAGCTATAAAATCCAATAGAATCATTACTATTAAAATTACAATTTGCATGATGGGAATGATGGCAGTCTTTTTTAAAGACAGGAAAATAAGACCTCAATATGTAGTAAGGATACCTATTCAGTTTCCTCTATCACACCTATTTACAAAGTTTCTATTTTTGAATTTACAGACCTCCAGTGGAATGTCATTCTTAAGGAGTTTGAAAGGCAAGACTTTGATCATCACTCTCCAGATGCAAGTATGGCTCAAAGCAATTAGTATGCTCCAGAGATCAGCTTCTAAGCACCTGTAGAACAGAAGCCATGCCTCCCTTCCTCTTTTTGACCCCTGAACCTAGCACAACACCCTGCAGACAGCAGGTGCTCGGTAAATAAACACCACCTGAATGACTGGAGCCATCTCTTGGCAAAGATGTATCTGAACAACTTTTGCAGCAAGAAAACACGTGCCCATAAAAGAGAGAATGTGAGTATCAGGACCGGGGACAGCTCTCGACACACAGTAGGGGCTTCAGTCCAATTCTTCTGAAAGTGCCCTAATGTTGCAGCTGCTAGTTATGAGCAACAGCTCAATTTAGTGAATAAAAGCTTTCCCGAGACTCAAGAGGCATATGATCTTGTTCAAAAGTGCTTCATCTCCATTTTTTCATTTGTAAAGTAGAAAAAAATTACACTTGTCTTAATTTACTTAAGTGATTTAATAAAGATAAATGATATATCCGTGAAAACTCTGCCATAATGCAGCCAAGAAACACACACACACACAAAATCAGGCATGTGGCTCCTTAAGGTATAAATGCTTATTGTGGTATCTGGATGGATCATGTGAACATGAAATATTCCACAAAATTTTATTCTGTGGCACAAGTCTTATTTCTAGAACATCACAAAAATGGCTCTTGACTAAAGAACCCGGTTCAATTCACATGAATTTTCTTTTCCCCTCTTACTCTCAAATAGCTGCAGATGGAGCAAATCTCAACTTGTGGCTTGGCCACCATCCCCAGGGGCTCCTGCTCTTCTTGACAGTTCTCATTGAGTGGAGGATCCCAAGCAGCTCCCTTTCTCACCTTACTGTTACCGGGGACCAAACCAGAACTTATCAGGCCAGCTGAGGACTCCCCCAGAAGTCTATACCAGGCTGATCAGTCAGGTTTGAGAAACTGAGGACACTGTCCTAACTAGCCTGTTCTGGATCACCTGTAACAAAACTCGATATGAAAATCTAGATCTATATAGATGATAAATTTTAGAATATACAACAAAACTACTCACAATTGTATACTAGGGCACTAAAAATTCTCGCTTTATATACTGCTCCAGAGAAATACTCTGTGCCAAGGGGAAGAATATCTATACCCTCCAAAACAAGAATAGCTTCTCAATTCATCTACAAGCTGGGTTGAGGGAGGGGAGTGCATTAGAAACAATCTAGCATTTTCCTCCAACAGGATTGAGTTGCAAAGCTCAAAGCTAGAAGGATATCCAAAGCCCCGGGGCCATGTTTGCCTGAGTCCTGACCTAACTGCATTGTGTTGCATCTAGAGATTTGCGAAGAGGACCCAGACCAGAATGAAGCCATCCCCAGCTTTGGTGTGCCTGGTATCTGGCTATAAATTCTCCTACAAGCCAAAAAGAAGTTTCCCTGCCCTGCTTTTTGCATGACTGGCTTCAGTTTAACGAACCCTTAGAGCCAGTTTTGTAGGCACACACCTTTACACAAAGGGGTGTTACTGAACTTTTAGCTGCATCAGCCAATTACATGACCCACTGTATCTTGAAATGTGGTCCAAGGCCCCTAAGCATCAGAATCCCCAGGATGTGTGTTACCAAGTCAGAGCCCCAGGCCCCTCTGCAGATCCACTCAGTCAGGACTCTAGAAGTAAAACCTGGAGTTGACAACTTAAATGAGCTTTTTTGCCTCTCAGATAATCAATCCCATTTACACTAAGCTTGAGAGCCAATATGGTACCTAAGGAAAACCCTGAGTGCAAGGGCTGTGCCTTGTTCATAATTGTACCTACAGAATGTAGCAGAATGCCTGGAATATGGTAGGAGCTCATTAATTGCTAATTAGCCAATAACTTATTTTTGAGGGACTCTGGCCCCCATTTGCGAGGGTAAGTCCTCAACAATGTAGCAAACAGTTATTGAGCATTCTCTCCATCGGAAGCACTATCCTAGGAACTTGAACATACTCGGTCCCACTGCACCCCACAGGCCTATGGAGTAGATCCATGCATTCCCTTTTTACAATTCACTCTGAGGTCCTCAGATCCTCTCGATTCCCAGGGCTCCTGAGGAGAAGAAAGACTGGGTACCCTGATTCAGCTTTTCCTCTAAAGCACTTGGACTCTCCCACCTACAATGGGGACTCATCCCTCACGGGATGGGACCTGAGGTGTCAGGGCCCTTTACCTTCACGCAACCCCTGGAGCAACATTTTGCCACAAAGGCCCCTGGGAACCACTAGTCAGGGGCCCCGGTAATTCTCTGCCTTTGGAGAAAACAGTCCTAACATCTGTGCAGGGCTTTTAGTTCCGTTTACTCAATGAAACTCAACTCTCTCTCTTTTTTTTTTTTAAACTACACTCTGCCATCGGTGTACGTAAAAGAGTTTACTTGCTAACTCAACAAAAGAGGGAATCTCTTCCTCCCCTGGAGGCTCACTGCTCCCTGGTGGAGAGAATGCCGTTGGCTTTCCCACACGGCTCTTCAGCTTTCCTCGGCTCTCAACACCGCATCTGCTTGGCCTCTCAAGAGCATCACGAGCCAAAGGAAAGGCCACGGAGGTTCTCGGAGGGAAAACGGAGTTCTTTCAGGAAGATGTGCATTCCGAACAGGACAGACAGGAAGAGGGACGTGAGGGGCTCGTGAGCAGCTGCAGGAGACCACACACACGCACGGGAGGCATGCACTCTGGGGGAAGCAAACGGGGTCCAGTGACCATACGAGCAGAGTGGCAGCGGACACGTCCCTCACGACTTAGTACTTCAGTGAGAAAGGGGTTTTTCACTGCCAGGAGCAGACATTCAGGAAAGCTGTGAGGAGGGGATTCCAGAAGCTTACGGTACTTGAAACAGCTCCCGTGAGGTCAGGCTCCGAGGCTCTGCGGAGGCCCTCTGGGACCGGAGGGACCAGCGGAGGAGGTGGTGAGAAGGATGGTGGTGTCTGGCTAACGGGGGGATGGGGGCCAGGAGCGCTGGCTGGCTGGCTGTGGTGGGACCGCCTCTGCAGACGAGGGGGAATGAAATCATCTAGAGTCGGGAAGGTCAGAGGTGAGCCGGCAGGGGCGGTGGCCGGGCCTGGGGGGCCAAGAAGCCCCAGAGATGCTGGAGGTCTGGCTGTGCCTTCTTGCCCTCTGTCGGTATTAACCAGGTAGAGAGGGACAACTATTATCTCAGGCTGGGCTGAACTGGAGAAAGTGGCATCCTGTAGGAAATAAGGGGGTCGTTATGTAAAGGGGCATGGCAGGGAAGAAGGAATTCCATATTTAAACAGTTGAGACTGGACATGCAGTGATGTACTCTGAGAACTATTTAATCGGTGCCCATTCCTCAGAGTACATGAGACAGTCGGTGCTAGCCAGCTGGCCTCCTGACACTCCATGACACAGAGGGAACCCCATCCAAGTTGACTTTCCATCCATCTATTTTTGAATCCTTTTAACACTTGAGAGAGAGAGAAAGAGAACAACAGAACAGGCAGACAGGCTGTGTTTAGCCCCCCAACTGCTTGCAGAGCCCAAAAGCTTGGGAGCAAATACAGTTTCTTTGGCCCCTTGTGATAAAATATCGACACCCCGTATCTCAGCCTATTAGTCTATGGATCCCACACTCCGGCATACTTACATACTACCAGGGAAGAGAGAGAGGGACAGAGAGGGCTGTGCCAAGGTGTTTAGAGAGCAGAATTCGGGACTCAGGCTGCGGCAATGTTGACAAGGAGAGGGAGGAGAGGCTGCTCAGAAAACAAGTGAGCTGCCTCCACGAGTTTGGAGAGATGGTGTAGAAGACACACAAACATTCCTCATTCCTTGCCTTGGCTGGATAACACGGCTGCAAAAGGTAAGGTTCTTTTCTCTTCCGGTTTTCGGGAGCAGAGGAAAGCTGGGGGCCTAGCACAGGTGGTCTCACCGCGTCTGGGAACGGAGGCCGAGCGCACAGGGAAGGGCTCGCGCCCCGGTTAGCGGCATCTTTACGGATGTCAAAGAAGAGCTGGGGAGGGTCAGGAGGAGCAGAGGGTGGTGTCCCCGTGCCGGCTGTGCGGGACACAATGCTGGGAGCCGGTGCGTGAGCGCCTGCAGCTTCCAAGGGAGTGCCTGTGGCTGGGTCACGTGCAACACGAGAGGCGTCTTCTGCTGCCCCCCGGCAGATGTTATTGGATAAACAAGGTATGTATAAGCTGCTGACCTTTTTATTCCCATCTGCCTCATGACGTGGGTTAGAGCTCACATTCTCACTGTAAACTGTCCTGGTGGCCACATGGTGCTGCCGGGGTTGGGAGGAAGCACCGGGGAACACGGAACCTGGAAGCGAGGGCCCGGGGCGCGGCACACCTTTGGGGACGGGCTGGGGTCGTGAGGGCCTCTGCTGGCTGAGGGTGCTGGGGGGCACATAAGGCTTTGGTGAGCTCAGGTAGAGGGAGTCCTTGGAGGTACTGTGGATGGGGGGACGCTGCCATGCAAAGCGGTCTTTAGGGGGAGGAGGCCGAGGGGGAGAGAGAACCTTTAGCATTATTTTCAAGAGATAGTATGAAAATGGGGAAAAAAGAAAGAGGAGGGAAATGGAAAGAAGGACCACCATTAGAAATAACACCATAACATGATCTGAAGAAAAACAATTCTTGACATGTTTTTAAGCAAACCCTGAGCTTAGCACTCCTCAAGGTCCCGACACTTCTCCTCCGGGTGAAGCCAAGGGCTGAATCATACTCACCTGGAGTGGCAGGCCTGACTCACATCTCAGCCCAGGAGAGGTCATGTGCTAAGTCAGTTTGACAGCGATCCTTGGCTGACCTGCACCCTTTGTTAGCCCTCCTGACTGACGGGTGCCCAAGGGCTCAAGGCTGGGGCCAGAGGCCCCAGAGCCCCCTCAGTTTTCTCACTCTCTTTTCCTCAAAGATTTCTCTCTCCATGCCCTTCATGCTAAAAGTTTAAGTTCACTGAAACGCTTGAATGTCTTTCATTCTCTTCCCTTAGGAAATAGAGAACTGGAAGAATCATCCTTATTTGTGTTCACAGGAGACAGATGTCTTAATTGAATCACTGAGATTTAGCACTCAATTCCATAAGCATAACAAATTAAAGCTCACCAAGAAGAGAATGCTAAGGATTTAGAATCCACCTGTGCTCTTTTCTCAGAGGAAGCAATTTGATGGAACTAATTATTAGGAGGAAGACAGGCAGGAGATTAAAAGCACGTAATCTCCTGTTCCAATGCACAGAGAACAGAGGGACCAGGCCACGAAGCACTTGATTTGCCTACCGAATTCGACTGTGCCTGGTTCATCCAATTCCAGCCCCTTCCTCAGACAATCCCACAGTGGGGTTGTCTCACACTCCACCAGCCTCACACTCCTGGCTTAAGTAAGCCCAAAGCTCTGGTTCCAGGCTGAGAGCTAGGAAGCTGTGGGTCACATCTCATTCCCTCCACACAGCTCCCAGCGACTCCGTGGGTCTCAGTGGGGCAGAGGAAACAGGGTAAATCTCCAGAATGATCCTCATTTCAATGAGAACCGTCTGCCAATCCATGGCTCAACTAGAAATTAGACCAGAAAATGAGAAAAGTTTCTTTTCCTAGTGTTATGGATTAAATGTGCATGTCCCCCCAAAGTTCATATATTGAACCCCTGGCCCCAAGTGATGGTGTCTGGAGGTGGAGCCTGTAGGAGATAATTAGGGTGAGATGGGGTTATGAAGGTGGGGCCCCCATGATGGAGCCTTAGTGTCCTTATAAGAAGAGAGACCAGAGCTCACTCTTTCCACCAGGTGAGGACACAGTGAGAAGGTGGATGTCTACATGCCTGGAAGAGCGCCCTAACTAGGAACCAAATCAACTGGCACCTTGACTTTGGACTTCCCAGCCTCCAGAACTGGAGAAATAAATGTCTGTTGTTTAAGACACCTGTTTGTGGCATTTTGTTATAGCAGCCTAAGCTAAGACAACTAGATTTTCCTCACTGCTCCCTATCTTTAAAGACAGCCCAGTACTGGGGTGCCTGGGTGGCTCAGTCGTTAAGCGTCTGCCTTTGGCTCAGGTCATGATCCCAGGGTCCTGGGATCGAGCCCGCATCAGGCTCCCTGCTCAGCGAGAAGCCTACTTCTCCCTCTCCCACTCCCCTTGCTTGTGTTTCCTCTCTCGCGGTGTCTCTGTCAAATAAAGAAATAAAATCTTAAAAAAAAAAAAAAGCCCAGTACTAGAGGAAAACCAGAATGTCCTCTAAACGGCACAGGTCACGTGTATTACGAGTTTGGTCACTACCTGGTGAATGGGTTATAACCAAAAACTGGGAGAGTGCAAGGGTGTGGGTCTGTTTGGGGGTTTTTATTTTATTTTTTGTGGACTGCAGGTAGAAAGGGGAAGGGTGAATAGGTGAGAAATCAAGTTTTTTGAGTGTGGATTAGAATATCAGCCCCAGAAACAGTAAGCAACCTATCCCATAACAAACTCAGTTTTCAAGCTACAAGTAACCCAGATCGAGAAGAAATGATCTGGATATCTTAGGTTAACTCGATGCCTATCCTTCCCACAGGGTGTCCATGACAGTGCCAGCAGAATGAGGCCATGTGCACCAGCCAAAAACACAAACCGAACGGCCTGTCTTCAGTAGTTAGCAGGAGGAAAACCCTCCAGCTGGGACTTACTTGGTTTCCGTGAACTTACACTGGAGGTTGGGGCATGTTTCAGACTGAACAGTGCTCTCTAGAAACAAAACACTCGAACTAGCACGCAGCAAAGGGACTGCAGGCTAGGCTGAGTGAGAGTTGTCAGGGAGGTAGGCAAAAGACAATTTTGAATTTGGCTCAGATTTATTTACTTTTACTTTGAACCCGAGTGTCCCATGTGTGATTCCTTCTTGTCCAAAGATAGAAATCGGTTTCAATGAGTTTTTAACTTAATTTGGTTATGGCCATATAAGGTGCCAGGGTTGCATTACATCAGGCACAAGCCTTCCTGGGGCTTTGACCCTGCAGAGAGGATGCTTCCCCAGAGTGTTGACAATGCACTTAGAGCCAAAGGCCTTCCTGTCCTAAAGAAGGAGGGGGATAGGCCCTGTCATTTTATAAGGAACTACTTTCTGATTTATTGTAAACATTGTAGGAACTAAATAGGCCGTTTTCATTCCTGCCTAGCTGGCTACTAATGAAATTCCATTTATCTTTGTAGAAGGTGGGGACAGGGAAGAAATGGGGCTGCTTGAAGAATCGGGTATGCTCCTAGTTGATATAGTTCCAGAAACTACCAATCTCTGCCTCCACTGGTGACCACACGATGATGCTGTCAGAGAGAAGGAAGCCCTGGTTCCCCGTTCCTGGAGGGGAGGAGAGAAGGGCAGCAGGTCCAGGCTAGCAGGAGGGAAGGTAGCAAATGGAAGCACCAGGAGACAGGACTGCCCTCTGGCCCCTGGGTCTCCTGGCCCCAACTCATTCCTTATAAGGAGATGCTAGGCCTGTGGGGCTCTAAGAGCTCTTTTCATCTGAAGCTGAGCCAAGGCAGTCGCCAGCCCAGCCCACCTGCTCCTGTCTCAGCCAGGGTATACTTACAGCTCTGGCAATGGCTTTAGGGACAAGAAACGATTTTTTGCATTCAGAAAACAAATCCAAGAAATAATGTATGCCCCAAAGTTCTTGAAAGTTGGGTGGCCAATTTGACACTGAATATACAGAATAAAACCTCTGTATCAGCAATCTGCCAGGTTCCCTTGAAGACACCTCAGTAAAAAAAAAAAATTCTTGGATAGTGACAGACAAAAAAATACATGGTTTGTAGGGGCGCCTGAGTGGCCCAATCGGTTGAGCGTCCAACTCTTGATTTCAGCTCAGGTTGTGATCTCAGGGTCGTGAGACTGAGCCCCTCATCTGGCTCCGCACTCAGTGGGGAGTCTGCTTGAAGATTCTCTCCCTCTGCACACCCCCCACTCTCTCTAAAATAAATCTAAAAAAGAAAATACACTATTTATAAGCGACACTACAGGATGTTCACCCTTATGACAAGGCTCACCCTTATAAACTCCTTGACCACAATGTTTAACATCATGATCTGAACACAATGAATGCTCAATAAAGCTGTAGTAAATAAATGTATTTAAGAGGAATTTTTATTTACTTCACATGCTTTTAAAATTATCTCTTTAGAAGAGCTGTCTAAGAAGCTAAAAGGAACTTTGGGCTAAGGCACTGATAGGGGAGGAGGGTGTCCTTCCAAATTTGCCTTGAACTAATTAGCACCATTTCCTAACCCAGACAGGAGCCAACGGTATCCATTCCTGAGGCCGCAGACAGGAGCCTGGCGGCAGCACACTTACACACCAGGAAAGCTCTGGGAAGCAGAACGGCTATGGCAAGTCATTTACTGCATGGCTGTGTCCCATGAGGGCCTCAGGAGGCCAGGCATACTTGTGGCTCTGGCCTGGCATGCACGTGTCTGGGCCTTGGGGAGACAAGCATGGCAGGGGCAGGAGGGCTTAGTGGGGCTGCGCAGAGACACCTCGAAGCCCAGAAAGACAAGGTTTGCAGGGAGGAAGGAAGACGTCATCTCTGACTCGGTTGCATTTCAGAGGCAGGTGCAATTCTATGCCCTCAGGAGCAGGAGCAAGGGGGATCACTGGAGAAGTGGGGTGGGAACCAGGGTGGCGTTCGGAATCCCCAGGCCCCTGTGAGGTCTCAGAGCACCTTCGCAGAAGACAGGCCCAGGAAAGTGGACCACACAAGGAACACGGTCCCGCCACATTTTTTTGAGCAGCACAGCTTGCTTTAAAAGAAAGTACTGCTCCATTCCATGGATGTTACTTTTATGTAAAAAAAAAAACCACTCTTCACATATCACCTGAATTAAAACAGGGGCTATTCTTTCATCAAAATAGCAGAGTAGCCACAGGGAGGGGAAGGAAGAATGATCAGGAAAACTTAGGGGAAAGACTTGAGCAAAATTATCCCTCCTCCAAGCTGTCCAACCTCAGGCGTTGCTCTGGGCTGCTGGATTTGGGGCCGGCCACAGCTACCTGTTTGTCATCTGTAAGGCTAGAGTTGCTGGAACTCTTACAGCAAATTAACGGAATAAACACGAGAGTGTACTCTTGACTATCCTGTTCCAGAGTATTTAACACACAGGCTCAGAACTCCCCCCCCGCCCGCCCCCCGCTTACTCAGGGCTAAACAGAGTCCCTTCTTCAGAACATTTCCACATGTGTTTCAGACCTAGAAAACACTGGGCTTACATTTCCTATTCCCTGGTATAGACCATCCTCATCCATGCCTCTGCGACCCTTGATCCCCAACCTTTCACTCACTCTGGTCCTCGCAGAGCTTTTCCCGAGTTGGCCAAAAGCGCGACTCAGAACCTAGTCCGTTATCCAGCCAGGCAAGCAGGAGGTCACAAGCGTAGACTCAGAAGAGGTGCTGCTCACCAGTCCCCACCCCACCCTCCGGCACATGCCTACCTGGGGCTTGTCGGCAGGAAGGTTGGGATGCACGCTTCTGTAGCCCTTGGCAGCAAGTGAGGAGGGCTGCGCGTTTCCATTGGCATCAGCATTGGAAGAAAGCCTCCACTCATCTGAGAGATGGGGGAAAAAAAAGAAAGCAAGCCCTCACTCAGAGGGAACACTCCCTGGTTCCCCTCTAACGGAAGTCCCTGGTGGAAGGTGGGGGCAGAAAAAATGCAGGAGAAGTCCTACCTGCTGAGGGAGTCTCTGAGTCCAGAACTACGTGCGGTGCAGAAAGGATGAAAACAAGAAAAAGGGACAAACAGAAATGGTTACACTTGGAGGAAACAAGCGCGTACCGCAGAGAAAGAGGAAAATCCAGCACCCCGTTGCCGGACACAAAATGCCCTCAGTCACGATGGCCTAATTACCATAGGAACCCACTCTAAACCATGATGTGCTCACAGGCGCTGACCTTTGAAAACACAAGGCTCACATTCACAGTAATGAAGAAACAATTGTTCCTTGACATTCTTATTTTACGGACAAAAAGGCAACAGAATTCTCCCCTGCCAGGTCCCCAGTAACTCCCATTCCCCTTCTCCAACCCTGATGTGGGCTGGGAATGACCTCTCCTCATTAGCAGCCTGGGCTAATGAACAGACACGGGAGAGGGAGAAGTAGATAAGCACTTTTTCTGTGGTGACTGGCACTGGGCTAGGGGGAGAGCATGATTTAAGCCCAGAGGTATCTGCTGTGATAACGACTTTTTTTTTCTCCCTGCCTGCTTCTCTTCTTTCCATTTAAATGAGCCACATAAACAATTCAAAATTGAATCACCCTGAGCTTTCATCACGCTAAAAGGCACCCTCGTCTCCCTTTAGCTGGCTACCACCCTGCCCTCCCAGCCATGCCCGGCACATCTCAGAGGCCCTGAACCCCTCCTAACGTGAGCCCCCCTAGCACCAAGAGGCAGCAGAGCACAGGGGTTACCGGCTTGGCTGGGAAAGCAGTTGGCCCTCAGCTCAAGTCGTGGATCCACCACTGATGGGCTCTGTGACCCTGAGCAAGTTCCAAGCCTGTTTTCCCATCTGAAAAGTGGGGATAATGAAATGCCTGCTTCCCAAGTGTTGCTATAAGGATTAAATGACATAATGCATGAGAAATGCTTAGCATGGTGCCTGCCAGAGCTCAATGTTTGCGATTTATCATCTTCCGCATCATCTCGTCTCTCCACTCTATCCTTCACCTGGCCCGGAGGTCAGCACGCTCTTTCTGCAAAGGGCCAGACAGTATTTTCGGCACTGTGGGCCGTATGGTAGCAGTCGCAACCATTCAACCCTGCTGTCCTAGCACAAAAGCAGCCACAGATAATATGTAAATGAATGAATGTGGCAACACTGAAATTTGAATTTCATATAATTTTCGTATGCATCTAATACCATTCCTCTTGTGATTTTCCTTTTATCCATCTTTTCCTAAAAACCATTCTTAGTTCATGGGCTGTACAAAAAATAGGCATGGGCTAGATTTGGCCCACAGGCCGGTTTGCCAACTCCTGAACTAGCCAACCCCTTAACTTCCTTCTTCGTGCCCTACCTACTCCTACCTTCCCCTAGAGAAAGAGAGTGAGCGAGCGAGCGAGAGACACCAACACAGCAGCTCTCAGAGCCCCAACCCCATCTCCATGTGGATGCCTCCAGGACAAGAGGTGGGCTTTCCAGGTGGCAAGCTGAGGTTACCAACGTCACTGACCACCAATCCAAGTGCCAAACACTGTTAGTCACTTCTGTACCTATTTCATATTTGATTTAGTCACACAACAGGTCTGTGGGGTAGGTGATCACTCTACTTCATGAATGAGGAAACAGAGGCCAAGTGACTTGCCCCAAATCACACAGCCAGGAAACACAAAGTACTCAGCCTAGGTCTCCAGAATCCAGGGCAGCACTCTGCCTACCACCGTCAGCCACCAACCCCATCAGCCACCTATGTTCCAGGGAGGTGGTGGGAGCCAAAAAGAAACAGAAGGCAAGGCAGAGGTAAAGGTTTCGGGTGACCTGCATCCAGGTACAGCAGTTTGGCTGCATCAGAATCAGCAGTGCACCTATTAGAACGGACTGTCTCCCCCTGCCCCCCGTGTTCCTGACTCAGTAGATAGGAGGTAAAGCCTGGAACTGGACATTCCTTTTTTTTTTTTTTTTAAGATTTTTTTTTTTTAATTTGAGAGAGAGAGACACAGCGAGAGAGGGAATACAAGCAGAGGGAGTGAGAGAGGGAGAAGCAGGCTTCCCATGGAGTGGGGAGCCTGATGCGGGGCTCAATCCCAGGACCCTGGGATCACAACCTGAGCCGAAGGCAGACGCTTAACGACTGAGCCACCCAGGCACCCCATGGAACTGGACATTTCTAACATGTTTCCCAGGTGATGCTAAGACTGCCAGTCCACAGTCCACCTTTGAAAACCATGATAAAAGGAATACGCAAAGAATATCCTTTTTCTGGGAAATTACTTTCTATTAACTTTTAACTATTCTGTATCCATTTTTGCTTTGTTTTCCCCTCTAAAACAGTCTTCACAGCATGTTTCGGTTGTATATTCCTTCAACAGGTTGCTGGTTACATTTCTGCCACCCCCTTATGCACAATCCATAGGTATTTGTCTTCTCTTTCCAATCACATAGCTGGGGAACTTACAGGACTTGAGTTTCACGCACATTACTGCAATGTACTGGCTCCTGTGGCCGAGGGCAGGCTGCTAACCACTGTATATTTCCTTTTTCTCATCTATAAAATATGATCTGTACTCCACGGACACCTCACAGGGTTGCTGAAGATCCAGAGATCAGGCATGTGAAGGATCCTAAAAAAATGACCATTTTTAACACTCAGCTGTAGCATCCATCCAGATCCCTGGCCCAGAGATTTCCCTACACATGGCAGGCCCTCAACCACTAGGTGACACAATGTGACAGTGGTGCCCGCAGCCCCCTGTCCCGCATCCATCAACTTCTGTTCCGTCTTCCTTTCTAATTCTTTCTTGTCCATCTCTGTCAAGTCATTCTACCAAATGTAGTAGATCTACATGCACACTGATCTCAATAGGTTCGGAGTGAGGGGCTACCCAGTGAAGGATGTGAGCTTTCTACATGGATACGGAGGCACATTATTTTGCATGCTCTTTGGTTCTTGGCTCGGTTGCTTCTATTCAGGTGGTGCTGACAAACAGATGTGTCATGGACAGTTGAGAGGAGTCTGTCCCTCCAAAGCACTAGTCGTGAAGGGACTATAATTTTGGCATCAGATTGCCTAGCTCGAGTCCTTGCTAAATGCACATCCTGCAGCCAAATGACTGTGAAATGAGAGGTTATCTACCTCTTTTGAGTCGTGAGGACTAAATAGGAACCTCTGGCATGAAGTAAGTGCTTAGTAAAAATGGACTCCAAAGCATAAGGAAAAAAAGTTTCCCCAAACACAGAAATAAGTAAGAGTTGTTGACATCTACTGTTTGATAAATAGCTTTGAGAACATAATATCCTTGGGGATCAACCCTCTTTTTCTTCTTATTCCAAGTCATTAAAACTGTTCCCCTCACCCTGCCCCAGAAAAGGCAGTTCCCAGGACCTCTCTGGGCATTCCTCTCTTCCTTAACAAAGGAGAGCCGAATTCCCAACATCCATCATCCTCTGTTACCTAGTCTTCTGAACCTTCAAGGTCGGCAGCAGCCCACAGCCACTTGCACCTGAGTACGGCAGGTCAGATTTTATATACATAGTCATCAGTTGTTAACTCTTGGCTGAGGAGGCTGTCAAAATGCTTCTTTCAGTAAGTGTCACCTCAACGCTCCTGAAGGGGGAGGAGCATCTAGGAAAGCTGGATTCTAGATAGGTTTTGCAGCCCCGAAGAGACCGAGCCTTTCCAGGACAAGTATAATTTGTTTTATCTTATCTTTTCCTCTATCTCTTCTTTATACATAATCTTTTCTAGCCTGTGGACACAGCCTCCTGATACTTTCTTTTCTCTCATTCTGTGCTAATTTCAATTTGGTCTGCTTTGAAGTTGTTCTGCTGATCAGATCTTCTTGGGATCTTAGGACGACTTTTACTGAGTCAGATTTGATGTGTTCTAGTAGAGTATCCAAGAATTAGGTGAGGTGTTAAAAGTGGGCTTAATAGTGTTCCAAATCTTAATTGTGTTTATTTATTTATTTTTTATTCCAGTTGTGTGGTAAAGAATTTAACCTTACCCAAAAAGAAGTATGGCCTTTGCCTTCTGGCAATTAATCTCTAAACCCCTGGAATGTCATCCCAATGGGAGTGGTCTTTGTGCCAGATCAATAATGTGATTTATGGTGGGGGCTCTGAGTCATCAAGAGCTCAACCTCCTAATGGACTGGAGAGTAAGAGCCGTGGATAGAAATTCTGGACACAACAGCTCAGAAGAACTTCCTGGTTGACAATACTCGGAACATGCTATCACATCTCAATGCTGGGAATTAATGCATTCTGACTCCCTAGGAGAGGTCAACAAAAGGCCCCATGCTTGGTTCTTCCCTAGAGTCCATTCTGGGCTTCTTCTCTTAGCCAATATTAATCTGTATCCTCGCCCTGTAATAAACCATAACCATGAGCATAATAGCTTTCAATGAGTTCTTTGAGGCCTAGCAAATTATGAAACCTGAGGGTAGTTTCGGGAATCCCTTCAACTAGCATTTAGTGTCAGAAGTGAGGGTGTTCTCAGGGCACCTTGGGTGGCTCAGTTGGTTAAGAATCCGACTCTTGATTTCAGGTCAGGGTTGTGAGATCAAGCCCCATGTCGGGCTCCACGCTCAGCGGGGAGTCTGCCTGGCATTCTCTCCCTATCCCTCTGCCCCTCCCGCCCCAAAAATAAATCTTAAAAAAAAAAAAAAAAAAAAAGAAGGAGTGAAGGTGTTCTCTTGTGGAGACTTTTCCTTCCAACTGCTTAGTTTGGCCCTCATTCTTGTACAGGCGTTCATAAAGAGGACTCTGAGTTACTGGGGGTACAGAGTGTCTTTAACTGCTTCCATGTCCATTTTCTCATGATATCTTTCTGCTACTGCCATTTCTAGAGCACAAACCTGAGAGTCAAACCAGAGGAAATGCGTCGATCTAGTTCCAAAGCTAACATGGTGGTCAAGAACCGGGTAGGAAGGACTGGAGCAAACTGGCACAGAATTAACAAGATGTAAGGGTTGACCTGGATTTTGGCTTGCGGGTCAGAACACAGGGACTGATGGTCTTCAGGCTATTATCAGACAGGAAGCTTCGTATCACACTCAGCAGTTCATTAGGCTCTGTGTATCTTCTAGAATAACTAACACCCTGACCTGGGGACGTAGATGGAGTCACCCTGAACCAGAAGAGCCAATACCCAGACCTGGCCAGGCAAATGCTATCAGGAAGCAGGGATAAGGTAATACCTCTCCCAGGGGCAGGGTGTCAAGCACTAAGATCACTGCAGTTCTTTCCAGATGCTTCTGATCCAAAAACCAAGGTCCACTTTCAGAGATTAGGAGGCTGGTCAGGAAGCTGTGACTGGGGATCCAGAGTCAAGCTACCACTTGAGGGCCGGAGTCTGGAGGGTGGGTTTAAACTGGGCAACTCCAAGGGCTCCATCTCACTCCACCTCAGAGAGCACCTCCATGCTCCTAGTGTTTGTCTGGATGCACGTGTTTCCCAAATCCGCACTCCAAACTCCAAATGTCTATTAGAAACTTCCCCCAAAAGTCCTGCCCTTGCCCCGAAACTCAGTCTGGCAAACAATGGAATTCAATCTTCCTTTCCCCCTCCATAAAGCCACTGTCTCCACAAATGCCACAGCCTTTCTCGGGGTCAAGCAGGGGAGGCAGCGCCTACTCAGCAGGGAGTCCACCTCTCCATGCTCCTCACACACACTGCACTGAGCCCTGCCACTTCACTCTTCCAAACGCACGTCCACCCTTCTTCATTCCCACTGCCCTCATGGCCTCTAGCTGAAATTACTGGAAGGCTTCCCCAGGCCCCCGGATGTGCACAACTAGAATGGCTGCCATCAAAGAACACCTGCTGTATGCCGGGCTCGGTGCTAAATCTTGGTGTGAAAGAGCTCCCTGAATCCCAGCAACTCTACCGAGGTCATTCCCATGTCACAGAGGAAGAAAGTGAAGCTCACCAAGGTTGAATGAGTTGCCTACATCACAAAGATGGAAGCGGCAGAGCTGAGCCTCGACAGAGGGCTGTGTCACTGCAGAACTAGACCGTGTCTCACAGGATGAGGGAGATGGAGCAAGGACGGGGAACAGGAGACACTTCTGAAATGTGGGTATCAAGGGGTCACGTAAGCAAAGAAGGTGCTGGGCAGTAGTACAAGACTGGAGCTTCCAGTCCGGGCAACTGATCAGCCACTCCTGGGCCTACTGGGAGGGAAGAAGGTGGTGAAGCCCGGGAGCGAGGCAGAGAGGAGGCAGACAGAGCAGCTAGGGGACAGATGCTGGCCCGGGTGACAGGTGAGGGAGCTGGACGCTACCTGACATCAGCTATCTGTGAAGGCACTGGGGGTAGGAAGCATGGAGGAGACACTTGCTGCCTCATATTCAGGCTCCCAGTCTGGGCTGGACTTGGCTGCCTACAAATACTGCAGAAAGCGGTTTTCATGAGGCCTCTCAAGGCCCATGGACTCCCAGCCCCTGAGACAGCACTGAAGACTGGTGGGGGGTGGGAGGGGGATGTGGAGCAAGTTGTCATGTAGAGGCCCAGGTGCAGGGAGCAGAGAGGGACGAGAGGAGAGCTGGGGAGCCACACAGACACAGCCAGTCAGGCGCCAGCAAGATGCTGGCCAGTGAGCAGTACGGAAAGAGGACAGGATCTCCAGCTGCAAGGTCCCACCCTGGAGTCCCATCCTCCCAGCGTTAACTCATTCCAGCCTCTTTGGTACTCTTCCCTCTACTCAAACCCAGCTTGTCCCTTCCACCCAACCTGTCCTGGTATGTAATCTCGAATTTGTCCTCAGTGAAGGCGATTCTGTTTGTGTCAGGTTAACTCCCACACTGCCCAAGGTCACAGAGCACGTTGGAACTAGAAAGGCTTGGAAACCATCTTGCCCCGGTCCTTCATACTTTACCTGGGCTTCAAAGGTGTGGCTTCCCCACGGTCGGAAAGCACGCTAGTGGACGAGCGGCCCGTGCCTGACTCTTCTATTGCAGCAAACGGACTTCTGGCCTCATCTGATGCACCCAGAATTACGTTCCTTTTCCCTCCCTTCTATTTCTCACCACAATTCCCACAGACTACTTAGCACCTGGCACACAGATGATACTAAATGAATGTTTGCCGACTTGGAGCCAATGACCTCCACTTATCAGGAGGAAAATAATCTAAAATCGATTTACTATAGAGGTGTGCATGACTGATAGCTCTCCCCTAATTCTTCAGTGTATTCACATTTTAAAACAAGATATTTCTTCACCCAAATTAGCTGTCAGAATTCATAAGATATAGAATTATTTGGAGACTAGGGAGCTTCCTAAAAGTGCTCACATCACTGCACGGTCCTGTAAACCCAAGCCCACAGATTGCCGGGTGAAGGCTACCCTTCAGCGCTCCATGTTAGTGCCACCCGATAACCAGGAGGGGGAGCTCCAGGACCCTCTCCTCCCACTCGCACTACATATTCATCCCCAGAGGAAGGGCCCTGCACTTGATAAGGTCATTTTATTGAGCCATGGGCTGTAGGTATGGTCTTTTTCTTTCAATTATCCCTGAGGATTCTCTTCCCCAAACATCCTTGGGAGTTGGATCTTCCCAGGTGGGCCAGGAGAAGCTGGATGAAGCTAGCCTTAGGAAGAAATGATTTTGCCTTCACTCCTTAGCCCCACCTTTCCAGGAGGGCTAGAGTGGGAGACTGCAGTGCGGCAAAAGGCAGGTATGGTTGGAGGAACACAGGGCCAAGAAGCGACTTTCAACCTACAGTGCTGGAGGCCACTTACGCCTTCCCTGAGACCAGGGAAAACATAGCCCTCCACAGGGCACAGCATTATCAGAACGGGGTCTGGGCTCAAACCCTAGCCTGGCTTCGTCCTTGGGCATCTGCCTTGGCGCTAGTTCTAGGTGGCTGGCACAGGAAGTCAGTTTCCAGGATGCTGGCCATTGACCGGCTCCTTCCTTCAGATTTCCATCTCATCACAACACACTGCTCCCCGCTGCACCAAAGAGTCTGCATGCCCCATCTCCTTTTGTCTCCAGTCCCAAGGAAGTGGTCTTCACCTTCACTCCTTTTCTTCCTTCATTTCCTTCAAGAAGGAAAGAAAACTCCCCTTCCCTATAGCAGTAGCTCTCAAATGTGATCCTGGGACCAGCAGCATCCCAGCATGATCGGGAACTTGTCAGAAATGCAAACCCTCAGACCCTACCTCAGCCCTGTAAGTGGGAATAACTGTAACTCCTAAAGCCCCAGCCTGGGGCCCAGCAGCCTGCCTTTTACTACAGGTGATTCTGATGCAGCTCAGGTGTGAGCACCAGTGCCATATGGAGTGGATTGTGGGGGAGGCGTGCCCCACCCTAAGCTAGCTGTCCCTGTGAAATCTCAGTGTTTTTCAACGCCGAGAACACTTGGGGGGCTCTGGAAAACCCTCTCTAGAGAGGTCACAATAATCACAATCATAACCAACTAATAGCAGCTAACGTCTAGGCAGGTGCAAAAACCTCACACACTCCACACTCACAGTAATGCTCTGAGGCAGGTGCAATTATCAAGCCCTTTCTACAGAGGACACCACTAGGGCTGAGACAGGGAACATCCTGGCCACAGCTGCACGGCCACAGATGTGAACACAGATCTCTCGGGTTCCGAAGTCCCAGGTCTCAACACCACTCTCTAGACACCCCAACCAGTGGAGCCGGATGGGAGGTGGGCTGCAGATGGGCTTCTTGTGTCTCCCGTAGCTCCTAGGGTGCAGTGGCCTTGGAATGGCTCTTCTGCTCCTGCTGCTTCAGCTGCCAGGTCGCCTCCCCAGGTCTGAGCCCTGCCCCTCCCCTCTTTTCCTGGGAGCCAGGTCAGTCAGGCACCTGCACTTCTCAACCTCCCTTGGCTTCACCCCCTCCACCGCCCCAGCCCTGCTTGGCCACTTAGAGCCATTTCTCAAAAGTGGGGATGGCCTCTGAGAAACCTAACCTCTAGCCCATCTCACCACTCCCCTACCATGCAGCCTAAGCCACCTCTGTCCTCGAGAATGCAGTCTGCAGAACCACCAGCTCTGTAACGAGGTTTCTCCTCATCTCTCTGGTCACTAGCTAACAAAGCGGTGGCCACTGCCATGCCTCTGCCCGAAGCAAGGGAGCATCTGGTAGTTCAGGGCACTGGTCATCACCCATCCCAGATGGAACAAGGTGCTGACGGTTCCAGGGACGTCTGGGAGAATCGGGAGGCAGCCCGTGAATGCACACCCTTCCGAGCAAAAGCAGGAGGGTCTCTCTCCCTCCCGGGGGGACTTTGAACCCCTCCCCCAGGCACAGGGGCCACACCTGGTTTGCTTTCATGTTGAGGGGTTTCCTGAGGGCTCGTGGGGCCGCTGCTCGGGATTTCCCTGTAGGAAGATGAGGCCCGGAGAGTCACCGCTCCCTTCCCAGTGCAGATTTTCGTAGGATCCATGTCTGAAAAGGAAAGATGCAAAGAGAAGCCTGAATCCGAGGCTCTTGAAGGATTAAAGCAACAGTCAGCTGGCAACTCATGACAGCCGGGGAATGAGATGAACCTGCTTACAGCCACCCAGTCTTATGGTCAATGTGATAGTCAATGAGAATTAATTTGTGGGTGGAGGAGAGAGACGAATCCCGTTTTCAGAGGTTTACCACACATCATGAGGTTCAGGGGAAATGGAGGCGACAATGAGTTCTGTGTAAGTTATAATTATCAGCTGAAAACATTTCAAAATGAAAGCAGGTTAATTCCTTTTATTAGATGAGGCTTAGGTTGGTGAGCAGACTTCTGACCAATTAGTAAGGCACAATTCAAGAGAGTTGATGAGAGATTTCTCAAGCTTCCAGACCACCCTTCTTATGAAAGAGCAAGTTGGCAATATTGGGATCAAGTTGTTCTGGGGGAAAAAAAATCACTGCTCCCTGTTCTCCAGTGGAAAAAGGAAAAGAAAATCTTCTATCAGCAAGTCAAGACCCTTAAAATGATGACAGGATATGCTGCCTGTGGAGAAAGATCATGGGTGAGAGCCTCACATTCCAAACTTAATGAAGAAAATTCACACCAAAGAAAATGACAAGAAACACCAAATCCTTCAGTGAACAGTGTTTATTGCGCCCCCTGCCGAGCCTTCCCTGGGCCCTGACCTCTCCTACAGCTCATAGTGGCCTAACAGCACACTCAGTTCATCTTTCAGAATTCCATTGAGAAGGATTTCAAAATAGGCTCAGAAGATCTGGATGCTCATTCTCTAGGAAAACCAGTGATGAGGAGTCAAGAAACTGACATAGATCACACAGTTCTAGAAGGCACGTGTTTCCTTCCGTGCAGCTCAGCTGAACTGAATGCCACAGTTCATTTTTTCAAGTTGCTCACAGCACAGCCTGGATCTCTGACCTAAAATTGTCAAGACTGGGATTATGGGATAAGGCTTAAGGTGGGTGATGGGCAGGACGGAGGCTCAGACATCCACGCCTCCCCATTCCCATGCCAGGGCAAAGAGAAGCACAGCCTCCTCTCTCCTTCTTTCCAGTCCAGCAGCCTCTCCAACAACTCAGACAGACCGACCACTGGTGTTACAGAAGAGAACAGATCTGCCCCATCAGCACCTCTTCCCATTGAAAGCGAAGCACAAAAAGTGTGTGGCAGAGCAGACAGTGACCTTGGTGGGCACATGACTTGTCCAACCCTATCAAGAGGATAAGTGACTGAGGTCACAAAAGTACTGGGAAAACTGATTCATGGCCTTTTCAAAAAGGATGAGCTGCAAAATGACAAATCCAGCCCATCCTAGGCTCCTGGATGCATGGCCAGATCTGCCCAACTCCAGAGTGCACCACCGGGATAAAGCACCACCTGGACCTCGCTTGTGCCACTTCGCACAGAAGGAAGCTGTATGTCAGAGCTGACACCTGAGCGGCACCCACTCCTTGGACAGGAGCAGCAGGAAGGGACTGCAGGTGAAGTCGGGGCTTGGAGGAGCACAGTGGTGCATCTAGGATTGGCATCTAAAGCAGCTGCTTCAAGTTCGGCCCAACTCAGAGGTTCCCTGGGTAGACACGTTAATTCTCGGGGAGAATGAAGTTGTAAATAAAGTATTGGGAGCTGAAAGCCTCCAGGGAGAGCCACGTACCGCATATACCTCCATGTATCTATCACGTACCCCACGTACCAGACACCTGTGCCAGAGTAAATTATGCAGCCTCTGGACTGACCCTTCTCCTAAAGAGAGGAGGGGCAAGGCATCTATCAGTATTCCTCTAGACATGCTGCCTCACAAAACACACACACACGTACACACACACACACACACGCACGCACGCACGCACAGGAAGAAAGGAAACCAGCTAAGGACTTGAGAGGGAAGAGCTCCTAAACATGCAAGAATTAAGCCTCCAACTCTTTGTTAGAAGGAAAGGAAGGAAAACCATGCATGATCTGCTAATAATTAAAAAAAGAAACCAACCCAAGGAGAGATACCTGGAGGGAGTACCAGGCCTGAAGAGCTTTTCACTGTCCTCACGGGAATTATTTTAACAGCAGAAATAGAGCGTGCACGTAAAGGGTCGGCAGTTGCTGAAAACACAAAAGGGTAAATGATGCATCCAGAAAGAACATTTGGGAAACACTCAGGCAGTTGAGGAACTGGGCAGGGACAATAGGAGGAAGTCGCCCACACAAAAAGAACAATGTGAAGAGCGTAGATGCGGTCATTTAAAATAACCTGCTTTCTCTCTCCAGAGTTCCCTGCTGAGATGGCAGAACCCCGTCCCCCCCGTCACCCATACGCAGTTGGTCAGTGTTAATCTGTGCCTCCTGCCACACCAGGAACGTGCCAAGGCTCTGGACAAAAAGATTTCCAGACAGGCAGATGGCTTGGCACACATTGGAAGGGGAGAGCCCCCAAGGTCCAAGGGGCCCCTGGGAGAAGGCCGGGGTGTCTGTGCTGGGGGCAGGGCTGCGAGGAGGAGAGCCCTGGCTCAGGCCCCTGATGAGTGCGGGAGGGAAGGGAACAAGCTGGTGAGCTGCCTGGGCCTCTCAGACATCACAGCTGCCTCCCCACCATCACAACTTCTGGGGCCCTTCCTGTGCCTGTGGACCCTGACCACCATTGTCCTCTGTCCCTGAGCACATCAGAACCTCCATCTGCTGGGCAGCCGATGGTCTTGCTTAAACCCAGCCTTTCCTGGTCAAGAGGTTGCCAGGTATCCAGTGCATGCTCAAGGCTCTGGGCAGCGCCCACGTACACAGCCGGGATCCTGACACCCAGCCGGGCCGCCAGAGAGCCAGCAGAACTGCCTGGGATGTGGCCAGGACTGCTGCCCTCATATCCTGGGTGCCCTACTTCTCCCTCTGAAGGCTTCCCTGGACCCCCCACCTCCCCAGATCCTGGAGTCTCAATGGTGGCACAGCCCCAAACCCTCCTTCTCACAGCCTGTGGGGAAGCCTCCCCTCACTCTGTCTCTCCAATGGCAGCAAGGAGAGATGGAGTTCAGGCACTATGGCACCAGGGTCACTCCAATGAGCAACACTCAGAGGTCTTCTGGCCCCACATCTACATAATAATTGGGGGTAAGGGCTGTTTGGGAAGCAAGACCTGTCAAGGGGACAGGAGGGAGGCAGGCCCCTCAGCCACGGAGAGTTCACTTTCCAGCCCATCACGCTGCCGCCTCATAAGGCGGTCACATAGCCCACGGCCATTGATGACTAAGTAGACAATAACAACAGTGCATGTATTGAGATACAAACATGCTTGCACAGTGATCCCACTGCCTGATCCTTATGACCATGTGGGAGATTGGCCAGTGGGAGATTCTTGTTACCACTTTCAGAGGAAGAAGCAAGAGGCTCAGAGCTACTCAGTCATCCAGCTCCTAGGTGAAAAGGCTGGAGCTCAGCTGTCCGGGGACCTGGCTCAGTGACTTCCCCAGGCTGCCATGACGACCTTTGGGTTACATCTTCTGTCTCCTTTCCAAAGGAGGGTTGAGTCTACTGAGTTGAGAGTGGAATCCGCGCCCACCTGCCACCCTCTTCCACACCTCTGAAGTCTGCTCTGTGAATGAATTCACGGGGATGCGGTTGACGGCCCCACAGGTTTTACAAACATCAGAGCCCCCAGCCCTCCCCATGCTCCCTGGATGCTGAAACATGCCCCTGGGGCCACTCCTCAGGCACTGCCCTTCAACACCCCCTAAGTGTGACTTAGCCAAGATTGCCCAAGGCCCTGAGAATGCATCCTGCACCATGAGTGGAGAAGGGTGGTCGGGGAGGGAAGCAAGGAGCACGGAGCAGCAGGACACCTCCTGCCACAGAGGAACCGACCCCCAAACTAACTGGGCCCCCCATTCCCTAGCTCCTCCCGTGCTCTGTACCTTCCCTCCCCAGCTGCTCCTCCTGACTTTACACTTTGCCTTGTCTCAAGAGGACTACTTGGCTGAACCAGATGGAAATTACAAAAGCCAAACATGTCACATTCCGAAATTATTCTTTGCGAGATGGTGCATTTTGACTTGAATGCCCAATGACAGGACTTTTGCCCCCTCCTCTCTTGGATGCCATAAAATTTAGTAGGATGAGCACGGATGGAATCACTAAAACCCAGAATTTGAAGCAGAACATCTCATTCCCTCATTTTCTAGATAAGGGGACTCACACCCATAAAAATAATGGACCTCCCCTGATGTCCGTCTGTGAGCACAGAAGCGGGACACAAGTCCGTACCTCATCGCTTGGCCCACGCTACACTGAGGAAGTGACATGGGAGCCTTGGAGCCTGGCTACGTGGGCAGCCATGTTGAGAGGCTGCGGAAGAGAGACCACAGGGCAAACGGGACCTCAATGGTCATATTACCACATCACTCACTTCCCACTTAAATCTACTACCCTGAAATTTTTTAGAAACTGAAAATCGAGGCTGCCCATGGAACTAATGTCACGGAAATAACTGATTTCAGCAATCAGAGGTTTTTTTTTTTTTTTTTTAAAGATTTATTTATTTATTTGAGAGAGAGAGAATGAGAGATAGAGAGCATGAGAGGGAAGAGGGTCAGAGGGAGAGACAGACTCCCTGCTGAGCAGGGAGCCCGACATGGGACTCGATCCCGGGACTCCAGGATCATGACCTGAGCCGAAGGCAGTCGCTTAACCAACTGAGCCACCCAGGCGCCCAGCAATCAGAGGTTCTTGCCTCCGGGGCAGGACTGTGGACGCGTCACTATTTACTGCCACTGAAGGTAAAATGTCAGGTAAGGGAGACTCCATGTTGATAATGCCATTTGCACCAGGCGAAGGCCTCAGTCGGTGTACTTGACCTGTTGTTATCCACATCCTGGGAGTGAGGGACAGGTTTTATTACCATGTGACCTCACAGTGGGAAAGAGTGGCCTCAGACCCATGAGATGCAAGAACGTGCTCCCAGTCTCAAAGTCGGCATGGGAAACAGGTCTCTGGTTCACAGCCCGATGCGACCAGTGACCGCTCGTACCAGGCCAGTGGCCCTGGTCCCACATACTCTGTTCTGTCTAGAACTGCTTCCTAATACCCAGCCGGGCTTCCCTTCAAGAGCTTACCTTTGTCCTGCCCATTGCTGCCTGGCGCCAACCCGTTGACCACGGCTTTAGAAGCACCAACGTCACATTCTGAAAGAGAGACAAAGAGCACAAGGCTTGGGGACATTTATTGAGTCCTGCGTGTGTGACATGCTGGGGACATGCTGGCTTTCTCAGGCGCCCCCTCAGGTGCCATGGGAGAATTCTGAGAACGCTGTGTAGCTTGAACCAGGAGAGAACCCAAGAGCTGTTTGGGGATGGGAAGTATGTGGTAGATGACGTAAATTCTCCTGCCGTCTCGCTATGGCTTCATTTCTGACATTTTTAAAAAATCTGCTTCATTCCCTCAAAATGGCATCTCCTGACTGACTAAGGCTTATCTACTCACTGGAAGGCCAGCTCCATCGCATCCCTGAGCATCCGGGAGTGAGAGCTGTCAGAGGACAGAGACCTCAGGCTCTTTGACACCTTCCTTCACCCACCCACATCCCCCGTCATCAGAAGCATGCTATCCGTCCCCTGGAATGTCTCTGGACACTGCCCCTCGCCCCCCACCCCCACTGTGGCCCTTCTGTTACCGTCCCAGAGATGACCTGCCTTCCCCACCGCTCCCCCGTCTTCATTCTGTCCCTTCTCCACCCCCACTGTCAGTCTGCATCCAGAGAGCACTTTCTAGCTCCTGATCCAACCGTGGCCCTCCCTGGGTTAAAAAGCCCCAGGGTGCAGGACAGATGAAAACGAAACAAGACAATGCAATAGGATCTTCTACAACAACTCTACTTTAAGTAGATGGTATTTCATCTCTGTTTTGAAAATAAAAATATTGGGGTTTAGTTGGGAACTCAATCATGCATATGAGGAAAAAAATCATCCACGAGGAGAAAATGTATTCCGAGTTCCCTCAAATGTACAAATGATTGTTTGAAATATAATTTTTTAGTAAATTGCATGACTTATATCTTGGCCTACCTGGTTATATTTAAATTAACTGATCTTCCTGATGATTAAAAGCAAGCAAGCAGACAAGCCCCAGTGGCCAGCAGCTACCTAGGGGACAAAGCCTGGGCAATTCACACAGGATTCTGGGCTCTCCTAACCACTGGTCCTATAGCCTTTTCCTGCTGTGTTTCCCTCCTCCACTGCCTGCCATGCCCATCTCCTCACAACCCCTGAGCTTGTCAGATATGAACTTCCAGACCTTTAGGCTTCGTTCCTGCAAGACCCACACCAGGAATGCCTCCTCTGCTTTCCTTACCTTGGGGAAATCCTGTGCCTCCTCGAGCCTGGCTTACTGCAAATGTCACCTCCTCTAGGTCAAGGGAGACCTTTCCGAGTTCTGCTCAGCTAAAGGCACTGAGAGCAACCTCAGACCCACCTGTGTGGTTTGGAGTAACCCTACCCCCACCCCCCACCAGCCAAGAGCTAATCAAGCCACAAATATAATCGTAACACCCATGGTTTCTTAAACATCTATTTGCCCAGATCTGAGGACCCACGATAACATTCCGTTAAGTAGCACCTCATTTTCATCCTTCAGACTCAGTCCCCTGGAGCTGGGAGTCAGGAACTCCTATTTCACAGATAAGAAATTTGAAGCGCAGAGAGGATGCCAGGCCTGCCCAAGATCACTATGCTGGGGTCTCCAATCTGGTCTGCTCCATCCCCCAGGGCATCTTCTTGCCCCCAACAGAGGGAAACATTTTTTATTTTTAAAATAAAAAATGGCTCCTATATAGTCTATAAATGCAAACTATATGAAAGAGCTTATATACTATCTCCCCAAATGCTGGGACTGAAGCCCTGTCCCAAAACCCGGTGGCTCCTCTGGCTGAGACTAGGTCACCTACCTGGGCTCCCAACAATCAGCCTCCCTGACATGGCCCACACTGCCGGGCCAGCCCGGATGCTCCTGATCCAGACACGAGCAGGGCCACCACCCTTCCCCGCCAGCAGCCTGGAACTCCCGACACTGGCCCCACAGATTCTGTCCTGCTCGCTGCCCCCACCCACCTGCAGATGAAGGCTAATTCCCCCCGATGCCAATATCTCCCTCGCACCTACATTCTTGGGATGGAGGAAGGAGGGTGTTGGCAAGAAGGCCAGATATCCAGGTAAAAGAAGTAACATAGGTTCCATCACCCCAACTGTTCTTTCTGTAACTCTCTCTTCTCCCTGCACCTGCCCTAGTTCCTCTTCACTATCTCTTCTCTGGAGCTGCAGGCCTTGCTTCAGGGCCCCCGACGCTAGCCTCTGAGCTGCCACCGGGCTCAGCCCCGTGCATTTCCTTTCCTTGCTTTCTTTTCATGAAACATAGTGAAACTTGAAGAAAGTTTGCAAAATCGTCCCAGCACCTCCCATTCAGACCTCTGCGGCACAGTGTGCTGGTGCCCATGCCTGGCTTTGCCTCAGCTCCACTACCCACCAGCGGGCTATGCTAAACAAATCCTCCACCTCTCAGGGTCTCAGGTTCCCCATGCACAGAAGAGGACGGGCTACACCATGCTGGTTTTTGCAGGTCTGCCAGGAGAATCCAATGAGAGAACACAAGCAAAGCCCCTCCCCAGGTGACTGGCAGCCCAGGCCGAACTTGGAATAAAATGAATGCATCATTTTCATGCTTCTCTTTCCACCGAAGGTTAAAACAAATGTTTTCCTCATAGCTGCTTTCTTCCTAATGACCAGTTTTAATAGTGGCATAATATTCCATCACATAATGAACCTACTCATTCCCCACCTTCATGTGGGTATTGTTTTTGTTTCCTCTGAATTAAGACAGGAATTCCCAAGAGTGAGATTATCAGGTCAGAGGGTCTGGGTTTTTTGGACTCTTTTATAAAATGCCTCCCAGCACCACGCCTGAGAGCGAACCTGGGAGAAGTCCCACAGGCCTATCCACACCCTCACCCTCCTGCCGCGCCCTCCCTTCTTCTGCCTCCTGCCCTTAGGCATGCCAGGAGCCGCAATGCCAGCTTAGGCTCATTCTGATAGAAGATCCAGAAATTTTAGGCTGCAGAGCAGGAAAAAAAAAAAAAAAAAAAGGCGCCTCCTGGCCTGTTTTAAATGACCACAAAACCAAAAAGCCAAGCAAACGAAAAGAAGAATTACAAAGCAGGAGCTCCTGGCAGTACCCAAGTCCACTTGGAGGGAAAAAGAAGGTGTGTAGCCTCTTCACGTACAGCAAAAGGGCTCAAGGGATCAGAACAAGCCAAGTCCCCCTCCTTGCAAGGAGGAGATCTGAGCTGATAAGTGAGGACGGAACACTGGCCACGTGGTGGGCACAGTACATCGAGGCACTGTGTCACTTAATCCTCACAGAGTCCCAGTGAGCCGGTGCTTCCATGATGTCTGTTTCACAGAGGAGAATGCAGAGGAGGGTCCCCACAGGCCAGAGGCCGCACAGTTGGTCTGGGAGGAAGCCAAGTTGAGGCCCTGTGCTGTTCTACCTGGAGCCCCCCTCAGTCCTAAGCACACACCGTCCTGCACAATTTAGATTTGGCTAAAAGGACACTGTATGTCAATACACGGAAAGGCTTGTTTTTAATCTGCAGAGATCTCTGATAACACTCCAGACGTAATGCAGAATTAGGAGCTGCTACTTGGTCATGTGCCCAATACCCCACACATAGCCTATGGGGCCTCGAGAGGCTCCAGGGCACGCTCAGAGCCAAGGTGGGCCTTAATATCCAGATGGAAACTTCTCTGCCTTGAATTCTGGACTGGAAAACTGACAACTCTTGGCTGCATAATGAGCAGGGAACTGTTCCCTTCTCTGACTTCCCTAGCCCAGCTCTAAACTAAAAATACGCAAAACTGGTCATTTCTTTAGGTCTTGATTTTTACTACCAAAGGCATTGCAAAACTGTGAGCAAGCTGCTCTTCCAGTCTCGATGAAGGAAGTGTTAGATTAGCTTGCACCCTGGGACAATTATGGCCAATCTGTTTCCTTTTGCTGCAGTCACCAGGATTAAACAATGCCACTGAGGTATATACGTAGGTCAACATCTATCAAACTATATACTGAAAATCGCTGCAGTTCACTGTATGACAATTATACCTCAATAAAGTTGTTTAAAAAGCGAGAAAGGGATGGGTGCCTGGGTGGCTCAGGTGGTTAAGCGACTGCCTTCGGCTCAGGTCATGATCCTGGAGTCCCAGGATCGAGTCCCGCATCGGGCTCCCTGCTCAGCAGGGAGTCTGCTTCTCCCTCTGACCCTCCCCCCTCTCATGTGCTCTCTCTCTCTCTCATTCTCTCAAATAAATAAATAAAATCTTTAAAAAAAATAAAAATAAAAAAATAAAAAGCGAGAAAGGGAGATATTATAAAGATTAGGATGTGGTGCATGTTAAGCCTAGTGCTTAACACATAGTAGGCACTCATTAAATCATTCGTGATGAAGGCAACGGCAGCAATGACAACTTATGACAGAGCTTTGGCACTTGCCCAGGTCTCAAAAAATAAAAAATGAAATGCAGTTGGGCCCTTAAGAGTAAGTGGGAAATCTGGGTAAACTACCCAGTTTTGTAGATTTGTCCAGAAGAGAAAGACAGGGTTTAAAATGACTTACCAGAGCTCATGGTGGTAACAGGACAAGTCTTCCGCTACTGAGGCTCCGAACTGCTCTGCAGGAAAACAGACAACACAACAGAACTGATGAATGGCGGGTTCACAGTTAGTCCCCATGGTTTGCATGAAAAATGCAGACACCATATATAGCCAGGAGTCGCCTGGCCAGGCTTCTAGTTCTTGGTTGGCTCCCTGTGAACATGACCTTGACCTTGGGCACAACACTCAACCTCCTTGGCCTCAGTTTTGTCACCAGTACTTGGTTTAGATACTAAGCAAGATCTCCTCCAGTTCTAAGATTCTATTAAAAACCTCAAGTTCCATGAATGCACATGGGTCAAGGAGAGGGTAAAGGAAAGAAAGAACCAAATTTTAGGAGAAAGACGTTAAAATCACAACACAAAATGATTATCAAAGGACAGTAAGTCATACATATATACTATGCACATGGAAATGTTCTGGATGCTTTAAATATATTCATTTGATCCTCCCAGTGACCCTACAGAGTAAGCACTGACATTGTATTAGTTTACATGGATGAGGAGACGGAGGTACGAGGGGGCACAGCTTGGTAATGGGACCCAGGCGGGCAGACTCGAAGGCCCAGGCTGTTAGGTTCTGTACTCTATTGGCCTGAGGGGGGAATGCATTCTCTTGATTCACAAAGACCACCCCCTCATTTAGTATGGTCTCAAGTCTGCAGTAACCACTGATCTGCTTTCTATCACCAGAGTCTAACCCTTTTCCTAGAACGTTACACCTGACTTCTTGCACCTGACTTCTCTTCTCTCGCTTAGCCCACCACCATTCAGCAATCAGCCGTATGTGTGTGGGTCTATTTCTGGACTTCATTCTGTTCCACGGATCTGACTTGAGCCCATAACTCACTCTCTCGATTACTCCAGCTTTAGAGTAAGTCTTGAAATCTGGTAGTGTGAGTCTTCCAACTTCATTCTTTTTCAAAAATCATTTTGGCTCTTTTAGATCCTTTGCATTCTCACAAAGTTGAGAGTCTTACCCACTTCTACCAAAAACCAAGCAAGAAGCGTGCTGGACTTCTGATTGGGACTGTGTTGAATTTATACATCAGTCCGGAGGGAAATTAACATTTTACCAATATTGAATTTTCTAATTCATGAGAGTAGATCCTCTGACCCTTTATGAAGTTCTTTCATGTCTCTCCACAATATTCTGTAGTTTCCAAAGCACTGGTCTTGCACACATTCTGAATAAAAAGGCTTAAGTGAACATACTGGAAAGATGACCTGAAAAGCAAGACTTCGGGATGTGCAGAACCTTGCTATTTAAAGTGTGGTCCAGGGACCAGCTGCACTGGGATCAGCTGGGCGCTTACTAAGAATGCAGAAACTCAGACTCGACCCTACAGTGACTGAATCCGAATCTGCATTTTAACAAGATCTCCAGCTGGTCTCTCTGCACTTTAAAATGTGAGAAGCAATGAGGGAGAGGAAATCAGCTCCCTAGTTCATGAATTCTGCAATAAGAAGGCCCAGGCACGGTCTGAGGGTCTGTGCAAGGAGACATGTGTTATTTTCCTTTTTAACACACTGAAGCCAGGCACTGTCCTTGCTCACCATCCTTGGAACAGAGTAGAATGCTAGGGGCAAGAAGGATAGCATCCAAACGTTTTTACTTTTTTAAAATGATTTTAATAGTTTCATTAAGGTTTTCTTCAACTTTTAAAGTGATTAAAGAAGGGCTTTTGATTCAAGCATGAAGCTGTCTTAATAGAATGTGTGTTTTCTTTCTTTACAGTCCTTTCTAACCTCTATCTGCAGAAGTAGCATTTACATATAGTTGTAAACGTAATGTCTAGACAGCTTTATGTTTTACTTTTTAAAGATTTCAACATTTTTCTGGGTTTTTACACAGTCATCATATCCATTATTTTAATGGCTATGTAATATTTTATTGTATTAACCCTTCATAATTCATTTACCACTTCCCTCTGGACAGTTCTGTTTAATTCATCTTCATTTTAAAAATAAGTACATGGCACAAACGCATTCTTAGGCTAGGAAAGAGATGAATGGAAATGTCCTATGAACCAAACAAAAAAGGTGCCTCAACTCACACATGATGAATATCACCGCCATACGTGGGTAGCCCTTTGCGTGTGTAATATTTTTCAACATAGACACTAGTAATTTCTAAGTGTCAGCCCCACTCTTGCTTTCAAACTGATCTAATGTACATCTGGTCAGGGAGATTATCCAAAATACCATCACTTGGCCACAAATGCCCAGCACCCACAGTAGAGGCCAGCTGTAGCACTCTCTGGGAGGCCCCCCCCATGCTAGGTGTTCACCAGTTAGTGGCTGGATTGTAAGATGGAAGGAGAATGGACCCAGAGTGCTAGGACACTGTTTTAATATTTTAAGAACTAGCATGACAGTAATGGGTGACAAAGACCATGCACAGGTGAGCACCAGCTCTGGACAGCCTTTTTGGGTCATAGGTTTTGCGGCATGCTCTCATTTGGTGCCTGAATCAGCCACAGGTGACACAAAGAAGAATGGGACAGTTTAAGTAAATCTCCAGCGAGGGTAACAGTGGCGGCTGTACCAAGGAGGGTGCCCGGTGTCCAGTCCTCACCAGTGGTGGCTACAGACTACTGCAGCCCTATCCCGACTATCGCAGGGCCCAATTTCAGCTCTCATTCCATCCCACTTAGTCTCCATGAATTCCTGCCTCTGTTCGGAGGGCAGTTCTCCAGCCTCCCACAAATTCAGAACTACCCAAGCTCCTACCAATAAACCCCATTTCAGTGTGAGCTCAGTTTGAGAGGCAGTTTCCGGTCATTTGCAACCCAAGAATCTTGACCAGCACAAGGAGAGGGGGAGGAAGAAGTCCCAGAGGTTTCATTCCGAGAGGAGAATCTTCATTCCTCTCTCCTGAAGTGAGGCCATCCAGATCTGAATCCCAAGGGGGCTCAGCAAAGGGTCTTGTCTCTACAACCTGAAGAGCTCAGAGTGGGGGCGGTGAGGATGGGATCAGGAAGCTGCACAAACTGAGTCTGACCAGCACGCTGTAAGCCTTGAAAGTCATCATCTAGTCCCTGCAGTTTATTCAGAGATAATGCAAGCTATTAAAATCATATGTAGAATGTGAGAGTTTATTTTACATAAAACCCCCTGACACTTAATATTTACTTAAAAACTAAGCTGTAAAGGGTTTGATTTGGTTGAGAACATGATGGCATGTCTTTGGAATTTCTCCCACAAGTCGCCTCCAAAGGAGGCAGGCACCTTTGGGTACAAGCCAAAAAGATGAACAGTGCCATCTAGTGGCAAAACCATACAGCTCCAAGTGGGCAGCTATCCCCCAGTAAATCGCAGGAAGCTCCTCATTGTCAGAGCTTGGGTGGGCCAGCGAGGGTCAAGCTTGGGCAGCCAGGACCTACCGTACTTGGGTAAAGGGCCACAGCATCAACACAGACATTCCACCAGAAGAACAAAATGTAAAATAGCCAGACTTGTTAAGAATGCATCTGGATAATTGATGGTTCTGCATGGTCCCTCCCTAATTCCACGACCCTATAATTCTGAGATAAGTCTTGATGACACAGAGTGAATAATTACTAAAAAGCAAGTTATACTCATGCTTCCAGCTCAAATAGGATCCAATAACTAAATATGGGTTGTTTATTGGGGAAGGAAAGAAGGTCCTTCCTTATATGGATGGTTCAGGGATGTAGAACGAGGGAAGAATGGAGTTTGTCTGTAAAAATGAATTCAAGGTCCAAGCAAAGATTCTTGGAAAAGAAGGAGTCTCAGATTGACCTCTCACAAAAGGTGCTCCAGCTTCTCCTATGCCCTATGGTGTCTGGCTTCCATTGCTTCTCCCCACATATGTACTAAGGATGTGTGTGTACACACATGCACGCACACACACACACAATTTTAAGTCTCCATAGGAGAGACACTGTGTCATCCCATGACCAAGAACTCAGTGGGTGCTCAGTCATGAACTCTGTCCCTGTCTCTGTTTAGCCTTTAGAACCCAATTTTGGAGTCTTCACTTCAAGATAATCAGGACCCTCCTTAAATCCAACATAGCTGTCTAAAAACAAGCTAGCTCCCCATCCCCACCAAACCCTGGTTATACTCTGGCTTTGAAATCCAATCTGGGACTTGATTTATTTGCAGCTACTTCCTTCCAATGGCTTGAAAAGAACAGTAACGGCTCACAAAGCCCCAGAATAAATGCTCGGCCTTATTGCTTTTTATACTTTGTTGATCCCCACAGCAAAGTCAAATTTCTCCAATTTTTCGACAGCTCATCCTCTTCTCAATCTCTATTAATGGTCCTTTCTCTCCAAATGCACTCTCTACTTTGTTGAAGAGGGTGCAGAAGGTTCTTCAGAACCAGAAAGGATACACACTGAGTTGCTGACACTGCCTTTCAAGGGAGGAAGATAGGATAAGCTCAGCCGTGACATTAACTTAGGTGTGGAATCCCATGACATAGCTGGGGGCTCAAAACACAACAAGCACAAGGCTTTTGTGAGAAGACCAATGCTTCTGGAGAGGGAGCCGTAGGAAAGCACATCAGAAGGGCCATCCTCCACATCCTCTCATCTCCTCCTGGAGTCTCTCCAACTGGTTTCCACTCTAACCAGTTATCTGAAATGGCCTTCAGAAAGATTTCCAGTGCGGACACGGCCAAGCCCAACACTGGCTTCTGCACTGGTCGGGGCCTCACTGACCTTTTCCACTGAATTTAAAACACTTAACTCCTTCTTCCTCCCACAAACACTTTTTGGTCCTGGTTTCTAAGTGTCACTGTGGGTTGGTTTACGTCAGGCCAGGAGAATTTTCTTTCTGGATCAGGGCTTCCACCGTTCTTCTAGGAGTTCAAAAATCTAGAGGACCCCACACTGGGTCCTCATTCCTTTCTATCTTCATGCTCACTTCCTTGGGGATTTTATCTGTAATATGAGAGCCAGAAGGATCCGTGTAGGTTACCTAGCCCACTTCACTAGCTTTCTGCCTGCTTTGGAAGGAGGTTC